CAGAACTCTTGTATCCGCTTATGCCTCCCACCTGGTGACTGCTAAATGCCCCTTGAAAGTTACAGTCGTTTTTAGCCTTGGACAATGGATGGTCCCATTTAATGGAACAAACCTGCACTCTACATACAGTTCTGTCCAGGGGCCTGAGCTCATTCCGACTCTGTGTGCACCACGGCCCTCTCACCGGCCTCATCCTCCACCTGGTTCTTGTTCACCTTTGACCTTTAGGGAGATACATTTCCCAGGACTTTTCAAAATGGCACCCTCCCGGCAGCCTTGGCGACTGTATGCAAATGAGCTGCTGACCCTGGTCCATCGCTCCTTAGAGGCTGATCTAACCAGTCCCACCTGGTCTCCTTTGTTGTTATGGTGCTACAGTCATCTGGGCTAGTCCTAGAAATGCCCTCTTAACGCTGTAATGTTCGGGAGTTTTCAGATATAAGCTGGATGAATGACAACTTGCCTTATCACATTAGGGACGTTCCCAGGAAGAAAAACCAGGCTTATCTCTGTGGCTATGTAGTTTTAAGGTGACCTACAGCAGTTCAGCACCTTGACAGCAGTTCATTCTTCTTCTCCGAAAACATGCTGCTTACCAAAGATTTTAGACTATCACACAGAGAAAACTGATGAAATTTTTAAAGATATATATCTTTTTCTTTTTGAAGGGAAAATAAAAGTAAATGACTCGGTGGGACAAGGAATGTCTGTAGTAAAAAGCAACTAACATGACTGTTAGGAATAGAATCCCAGAGGACCTGGCAAGGAATTCCACTCCCTCAAGGGTAAATCTCAAAGGCACACTGGCAGGCAGTGAGGTAAGGGCCCTGAGCTGAAGACAATTAGTGCTCAGTAAACAAACGGAAGCATTTTGCTTTCTGCCCAATTTCAGTCCCGCCTTCCAAGCAGCTTGTGTGATCAGTTCTTAAGGAAAAAAATAAAAGTTCAAATTCCCATAGTAATTCAGTTTGCAAAGTGGATTCTATGTGATTTGTGGAGGAACAGCGTGTTTTGTTTTGTTTTGTGTCAGGGCTTCTGAATGGCAATTTCAGAAAAATGTGCTGAGTCATGAATCCCTAAGGATGCAAGATTTTGACAAGAACATGCATGGGGGAGGGCAAGAGCTGTGACAGAAGGCTCATTCTCCTTCTTCTAAATGAGCCTCTTCAGGGCAAACACGTACCCCACACCTGGGCCCAGGAACACTGGATACTGAGAAGCCACACACTCACTAAAGAATAATGACCACAACAAAAATAATAATAGCTAATATTTACTGAACATGTGCCAGGTATACATATGGGTTATCTTACTCAATTCCCACAATAGCCCTATGACGTGTATGACAAATGAGAAGACAGGCTTTGAGAGGCTAAATAATTTGCTGACAATCACCCAGCCACAGGAACTGGGCTGGGATTTGAACCCAGGAATCAACCCTAATAAGTACGTACACTGTCTCTCCAAGTATTATCCATGTATTATTCACAGATCTCGGATCATTTTAACTGATTGTAGTTAAACTTACTCAGAGGCATCTTACTCACTGGCATTCTTCAGACACAATCAACTATAGAACAAAAGGTCCCAAGATTGTTAATATTAATGAAGGAGAAATTATATGGCACTGCTCATGTAAGTTGTGTATTTATGTGTTTAATATAACACTCCTTCCAAGTCAAAGAAAAAGGGAGACATTCTTTTATTAAAAACAGAGCTCTTGGGCTTCCCTGGTGGTGCAGTGGTTGGGAGTCCGCCTGCCGATGCAGGGGACACGTGTTCGTGCCCCGGTCCAGGAGGATCCCACATGCCGTGGAGCAGCTGGGCCCGTGAGCCATGGCCGCTGAGCCTGCGCGTCCGGAGCCTGTGCTCCACAGCAGGAGAGGCCACAGCGGTGGGAGGCCCGCGTACCACAAAAAATAAGAAAATAAAATAAATAAACAAAAAAAAACAGAGCTCTTCATTTCCTGTAACGTCCTGAGTTGAGATAATCCTACAGTGATTACTAGAAGTTGAGGCTGTCTGAGGTCATGGGCCTTTCTGGCTAGTACAAGACAACTGCCATCCTGCTCGGTCATGACCTCCCAGAGCAGGAACTCCTGATTCTTGGGACTGTTTCTCATGGGGACTTTAAAAGTTGGTGGCTGAACCTTCTCCCCTGAAGACACGGTCACCCTAGAGAAAATTAGATCACCAACCGGCTTCTAGGAGGCCCATCAGAGAGAGAGAGAGAGAGAGAGAAGGAGAGAGAGAAGGAGAGAGAGAAGGAGAGAAAGCAGAAAGCAGAAGTGAGGAGATGTTAGAGTCAGTGAAGACTTTCTTATTTCATATATTTCCCCAAATCAGCCCCAGGCACTTGGAATGTCAAGAAATATCTTGAGTCACAAAAGAAAGATCGTATTCTAATCAATAAAATTTCATTATTAAATGGGTTTTTTAAATGCTTAGGAAATAGGCAAGTTAAGAATAATTATTTACATAAACATGACTCTTCTATTCCCTAAAGGACTGGCTTTATAGCAACCCTCCCAGCTAGGCCCCATTTTCTAGCCACGTTAGAAATCAAAGGGTTTGCTAGAACCTTTCTCATTTTGCTTTTGGAAATTACTTGTGTATGTTGTTTATGTCGTGGCAATTATGTTTCATACCATACAAAGAGGGTCATAAACCCCATCTCACAGGGCTATTATGAGGGATGAATAATATAATGCGATTGGAACAGACCAAGAATTCCATTAATGAGTAGCAAGATCAATACTAATAATTCCAAAGGGGCGTCTGTCTCCCTTTCCTCAAAAGGATTCTGTAGGACTGATATTTTAGCTTTTTGGAAGGCAATGGTCAAAATGGTTTAGCAAATTGACTTTTGAATATGCTAATATCTATATCACCAGATTCTGGATCTGAAGTGAAATCAGAGAATTCATATTCTTACATTCAAGTAAAGTATGACTGTAATTCGGGGGGCTAAGAAGAAAAAAGGCAACCACACTGAGGCAAAACAAACAAAAAGTATTTTATTGTAACTTAAAATTCATTCCCTAGACAATGGATAATGCACACACTGGAAGACATTAGTAGACATGGTAAAGACGCACTTGGACAAGTATCAACATTGATGAATGTGGGGATGGCATAAAAGTTAAGAAAAGCGCTTCCCTGGTGGCGCAGTGGTTGAGAGTCCGCCTGCCGATGCAGGGGACACGGGTTCGTGCCCCGGTCCGGGAAGATCCCACATGCCACAGAGCGGCTGCGCCCGTGAGCCATGGCCGCTGAGCCTGCGCGTCCGGAGCCTGTGCTCCGCAACGGGAGAGGCCACAACAGGGAGAGGCCCGCGTACCGCAAAAAAAAAAAAAAAAAAAAAAAAA